CAATTATGTTCTTATGAAACTAGCATATACTTAATTGGTGGGAATGATGGAACTAAAAAAAACAATGATATGTAATTTTAATATTCTTTATCATTAAAAGGTACTCAATTTAAGTATTTGATCATAGATTTAGTGATTTATCAAGCATTTCACAATTAGAAATTTAATCAACAATAATACCAAAAGAAAATGGTCTTATTAGTATTTTGAAAAATTAAGTTAATGAATTAGGATAGAGATTAAGAGAAGAGTAAGAATTTAATTTATGTTAAATTTGTCAATCTAAAGATATTAATTCTGTATTTTAAAGATTAATATTAGGTCTTTTTGGAATGTGGCCATAGATTTTGTTGTTATGAGTGTTCAAACAAACTAGAGTTATGTAAAATATGCTTAAAAAAGCCAAACAGGATCATTAAAATATATGTAGTTTGACTTTTTTAATAGTATTTATATTCTTCATAAAACAGTTTATATTTATATTAAATTTTTCATTAAATTAATATTATCTCTTATGGATATATAATAGAAGATTGCATAATATTATGAGACTGTCTTATCAAAAACTCATTTAAGAACTCTCTTAGATAATGATGAGAGAAACAAGCATTTGGTGACTTAATTTGATGGAATTTTATTGGATTATTCTCATGAAAAAGTAGACACTGAATTGATTGCATAATTTCAACAATTAGTTGATAGCACAAATCTTTTTGAAACTCTAAAAGATATCTAATCAGGAGTATTCAAATAATTCTAAATAGATCAAATTTAATTCCACTGAAAATAGAGCAGTATTACATACAGCTTTAAGAACACCTGAAGCATAATAAGTAATAGTAGATGGATAAAATGTTATACCAGATGTCTACTAAATTTTGGATAGAGTCAAAACATTTACAGAATCTGTTCGTTCTGGAACATTTTTGGGATACACTAAAAAATAATTGTTAAATACAGTTGTTATTGGAATTGGAGGAAGCTATTTGGGAATTGAATTCATTTATGAAGCATTAAGAACTCATCATGAAGGATAATTGAAATCAAAGGGAAGATAATTAAGATTTTTAGCAAACGTTGATCCCGTTGACACAATAAGAGCCTTACAAAATTTGAATGTGGAAGAGACCCTTTTTGTGATCAATTCAAAGACATTTACAACTGCAGAAACAATAATGAATGCAAAAGTATGCAGAAATTGGATTTTAGAATAATATAAATTGTTGGGTCATGAAAATGAAAAAGTATTTATAATTAATTAAGAAAAGGAAATATTAGAATCACATTTAACAGCTGTATCTACAAATTTGGCAGAAACAGGAAAGTTTGGAATTAATGAATAAAGAGTATTTGGATTTTGGGACTGGGTTGGAGGTAGATATAGTGTTACTAGTGCTATTGGAGTTTTACCATTGAGTCTATAATTTGGTTATGATTACATTGCTTAAGTCTTACATGGAGCTCACTCTATTGATCAACATCTTGTAAATGAGAAATAAGTAAGTAAAAACCTACCTGTTCTTTTAGGATTATTGGGATGGTATAGAGCAAGCATATAAGTAAATAATATATAATTATATTAGAAATATCAAGCTTTGGCTTTGATTCCTTATGCATAATGCTTATTAAGATTCCCTGCCCATGTTTAATAAGTTCATATGGAAAGTAATGGCAAAACAGCACTTGTCTATCCTGATAAACATGAATAATATTTTAAATCAGCTTGTCCATTTATTTTTGGTGAACCAGGAACTAACTCTCAACATTCATTTTTCTAATTAATTCATTAAGGATCTTAAGTTATCCCTTGTGAATTTATAGGTTATGCTAAATCTTAGGCTGAAACTGGAGCTTCTAATCCAGGAGCTGTAAGAGATTAGCATGATGAATTGATGTCTAATTATTTCGCTTAAGTTGATGCTTTAGCTAGAGGAAAGACCAAAGAAGAAGTTATTGCTGAAGGAGTAAAAGAAGAATTATAACATCATAAAGTATTTCCTGGAGACAGATGCAGTTTATAAATTCTATTCAAAAATGAGGCTAATCCTTATAATGTTGGATAGTTATTGGCTCTATATGAACACAGAGTTCTAGTTGAAGGGTATATTTATTAATAATGATAGTATTCTTTGGGGAATTAATCCATTTGATTAATGGGGAGTTGAATTAGGAAAGGTTCTGGCAAAGAATGTAAGATCGGTTTTGTTAAAAAATGTTGATAATCATAACAATTTAGATTTTACAGGATTTAATGCTAATAGTGCAACAAAAAATCTTATAAATCACTATAGAGCTTTTTAAGGTAAATAATGATTTACAAGAAATAAATATACATATCAAATATAAAGATCTTAAGTCTATCTATATTTTGTAAAATTTTTATTTGAATCTATTTATCTTAAATACCCTATTAATTATGATATTTTTTCTAATAGTCTTATAATAATTTAATTAAATTCTTTGTAAGTGCTGTGTTTTTGTTGTGATTACAAATTGATTATAAATAGATAAAAATGATAATAATTATTATTGATTTTAACCTTTGAATGGGATATTTATTGATTGATGTGTTAAGTGAAATTGCTTTTTATAAAAGTCCTACCTAATTATCAGATAGATATTTCAAAGTTCAACTTTTAATTTGTTCATTATAATTTTTAGCGCTATTATTTCCTAATGATGGATGGAATTATTGGAATTATGATCATGATCCTGTATTTAAATACTTTAAATAAGTAATTAATTGCTTATTAATTTTGCCTATTTAGCAAGATCAAAAAATCATTCATTAAATATTAGCAGCATCTTTTTTTGCATTTTAGTCAGCAATTATTATATTTATATCAATTTTAACAATATTTAGAAAGATTTCGCCAAATACAGAATTTAATAATGGTATATTACACTTTATGTTAAGAGTTGTAAATTTTTATTTTCTTCACATAAATTTTTCAATTGGTAATTTATTTCTTTTGTTTTATGGAAATGGAATATTTTGTGAAAAGTTTAATTCATTTTAAGATTAAAAATGTTCTAAACATTCAATATTTTATATTGGATTAGCTGGATCGATGCTGACATTGTTATCATAATATATTGGAATTTATCTTTTTAGATCATTCTCATTTAAACCTTTTTCTATATTATAGAGTAAATATTCATTTAATTAAATGCTTTATGTTATAATAAGAGCAATTATGTTTGCAGTTTATTTACTTGAAACAAATAGTTTTAATGTATATTTGTTTTTTATTCTCATAAATTGTTTAATCTTATTATAAATGATTGAAAACATTTTTCTAAACTCCTATTATCCTCCAAATAATGAATTTAATTTTAAATTATACTTCATACTATTCTCTATATCAATACTAATTACATTAAATGTTTTATCAGAAAATACAATATTGTAATAAAATATGATACTTGAAAGTGTGATGTTGATTGCATCATTTTCATATTAATTTTCTGAAGTTCTTTTTGAAAGGAAAATATTTCATTAATCTCAGTATAAGCTTTTATCCTCAAGTAGAACAATTGATGTAATCTAAAGGATTTATGAATTATCATAAGATTTAAAAAAAACAGTAAGATAGAAAAAATTGTTTTATTATTATGCTTATATTGTAAATCACTTATAAAGTGATAAACATATCAATAATTATTATTTTTAAGATATGTCATCAAGGAAATTTATTATATCATTTTTGTAAAGATAATTAAAACTATCAAAATAAAATGGTAGAGTAACTTTTGAAGATATGTAATTGATATACACTAATTTTTTGTCTCATTATTGCAAGAAACCATTACTTAGTTTAGTTGAATTTAGAAAATATGATATTTTTTATTAATAACAATAATCTTATTACTTTAAATTTATGAAGAAACAAATCAATAACAATTTACAATAGACAGTTTAAAAATAACAATAAGCAAATATTTTTTAAACCCAAAACAGAGAATAAGAAAAATAGTCTTTGGATATAGTTCATATAAGTAAATCAATAGTTTTTGAAGAACTCTACATTCCTAATATAATTAAGTTAATGGATGCAAAAATTTATTTTTGGGAATAATTAATTAAAGGATACAACACAATTTAAGAATTTCAAAATGAGGCTATCAATTTAAGTAAGAAAGTGTAATTATTACAAAAAGAGTTATTATCTAAATTATCCTTTGATGTTGAAAATATTAGTCATTTAGGAACTAATTGTAATGTATTAGAATTGAAAATAGCCTCTATTTTTTATAGTTCAATTATGAATGACTATTACAATTCAGCTTAATGTGAATTTTTAATATAAGAAATATTTAATATTGAACACACATTATCTTCTGATGTTATAACTAATTTTACATTGGTTGAAGATAAGGTAGCATTAATAATGTTAAGTTTAGTCAGAAATTTAGGTTAGATTATTAATTAAGATAAAAGAGGTTTATCTCAATATTTTGGTTATGATGATAAAGAATTTTAACAAATCTAATATATAAATTAATTAATGCCTCCATTTTTATCTGCAATACATGATAATTTATTAGAAGATTATTTACAATAAGCAAAATCTAAATTATTTTAATCTTATAATGTAGTATTTAGTTCTGATAAATAAGGTTATTTAGTAGCATAACAATTAAAAATAGATAATAATTTTCTAATTTAAGATGATTATGTAATAATGGGATGTCTATCTTAAGTTAAAAGAGGAATAGATTTTTTAATTTTTGGAGATGATGGTAAAATATGGGGTAGTACTTAAAATTTATTTTAAACTTATTTTTAAAATTAGAATGAAAAATTAACATTATAAAGATTAATAAACCAATGTTACATATATATGTTTCTTCCATAATTAATAAAAATTATTGATTCATATAAAAATTAACTAATTTCATAAGAATATGAAGGGTTAATAATTGAGGATTCTTGTATTTTCATGGTAAGAGAAAATATTATTGAATTGATTTAACAATTTTAATAATTAAGTATAAATATGCCAAAGAGCAGCCATTTTGAAAAATCATTTATTCCAAAAAAGGCTTAATTATCTGAAGGATCTTTATCAAGAAAGATAGGGACAATCTCAATTTAATAAAATGATTTAAATGAAAAACAATAAGATTAATTAGCTTAGATTGAATTAAATAGAAAATAATCTGAGGAATCTATTAAACCAGCTTAATATAATGGAATCCCTTTATTAAATAAATAATATTAAAATGAGATCTAGTAATATTTAGAGAGCATAGAAGTATAAATATATTATATATATATAGGAAAAACCAGCAGATAAATATCTAATCAAGTTTTCTCTTAATTTTAAAAATATTGGTAAAGAAAACTATCACAGATCATTTTTTATACTTGAAATTATAGATATAAGGAGGAAAGATTTAATAGGGAAATCTTTATCTGAAAATTAAAATTAATAAACAAATGATAGTAAATTCTATTCACTTTAAAATAATAATCATAGTAATTGTATTTTAAATGTTAGATACAACATAAGAGGAAGAACAAACTAAAGCTAATGTATCTGGATTTGTTTAATCAGAATAACCATATTCTGAGATTGTTCCAGTTAATAAAGACATTGGTTGTGGAGTGACTGATCTTTTGGAAAGAATGGGACCTTCAAAAAAGTAAAAATAAGATCAAGATTTTGGTTTATTCAATTTAGATTCTGGTAGAGATAGTATGAGTTATGGTCCTTTATCATAAAGAGCTCATTTTATAAATCCAAATTAAAAAGAAGGAGAATTAGAAGAAATTGTAAAATTGGATTAAGATTTCAATGTATTAGGAATTTAATTGAATAGTGCTAGTGCTATTATGTAAAAAGTAAAAAACTAATAATACGAACCTGAAGATGAATTTGATATTGATGAATCACTTAAATAATAAAAATAACAACTTGGTAAATCAAGTAGTGATAATGAAAAGGATAAAAAAAATGATATTTTAGAAATAATGAAGAAGAATAAATTGAAAGGAAAAAATCATGAAGAAGAAGATGTTGAAGCTTTAAAATCTAAATCAAGTATGACATCTGCAACTTCTGGAAATTCAGCAATTTAAATTATAAAAAAGTTTTAAAGCACTACTCATCTTACATAAGGACTTAAATTTATATCTATATCTAGTTTAAGTGTTTTTTTAATTCTAATAATCTTGATAACAGTACATTTAGTAATAATAACAATTAGTAATTAAGATACATCTTTAACTATTAATGATATTAATGGACCTTTCATATTAAATAGAAGTTATTTAGAAGTTATTTCATTTACATGGAGTTTAATTGTTGGAACTTTAGATATTATTGATACAAGCGAATTTATGAAAGCATAAACATATAGTGATTTATATAACACTACAAGTGAATTATATGATGAAATTAATAATATGTATTTAGGGTTTATTGAGGTAGAAGAAAAAGGAATGTTATCATTATAAAAATTTACTTTTTTAAAAGGAAATACAGAAGATATAAGATTTCCTTATTTTATTAATTTAATTGAGGGAACCTTAGATAGAGTTGTAAAAATAGTTTAACTTGAAATTAAAGATTTTTCTAAAATATTAACAAGGGAATATTTGGATTAATTATTTTTATTGAGATTTAATCTAAATCAATTATATTTAATGTCATCAGAATTAATTGATTCTTTGAATGTAGTGTTTTTGACTTAAACTAATGAAAGGGTTATTGAGATGTAGACTTAAGTTATTATTGAAATAATTTGCATTGCTGTCATTTTATTAATTGAGTTGTATTTTTGGAAACAAATTTAAAATTATAGTTAGTAATTAATGCTTTTAACAGGAAGACTTTAAGAAAGTGATGCAAATGAATCTATTGCAAGAGCTTCTTTGGTTAAAGAAACCTTAACATAATAAAGTGGAAAATACAGTTGGAAGAAATAAAATTATTATTCTTTAAATTATTAATCTCTTAATACATTAAATTTTGAACTATTAAATTAATAGTCTAGAATTATCAAGGATTTAGCTTTAAAAAATCATCTTGATATAAATTAAAATAAGAATCATTAATAAGAAAATAATAATAGAAAGTAATAATCATAAACAAAAAGAAATATTAATGTAGTTTTAAGTTCAAGAATTTATAATACTCAAATAAGCTTGTTATCTTATATTATTATGTTATTCATAGTCTTTATTATAATAGCATTAATGTTATTTGGAGGATTTTTATTATTTTCTTAATAAATTTCTGATTTAGGTCCATCTTAAGCTTTAACTGGAAATTATATTAAATTTACTTAAAAGTTGGACACTTTAATGGCATGTGCTTTAATATTAAAGACTTAATAGTTAGTTTATAATGCAGTAATAGATTTAGGAATTTATGATCAAGCAACAATAAATTCCTTCCATTAAACAAATGATATAGTTGAATTATTCAGTGATTTAAGTAAAATCTATTCTGAAAATTTAACCTCTATATATGAGAGTATTTTATAATCAAATAAAATAAAAGAAGAGGATAAATAATTTTTATTTTCACTTTATTAAGATGATTTTTGTCAAGAACTTAGTGATGAAATTCCTATGTGCAATTTAGATGATTTTGGATTTGAAAAGTTTACTTAAGCATTTGAATAACCTATTTTACCTTAAGATGATAATAGAGAATATGTTAACAAAGGTATTGTTGGAGTAATAAGTAGATTGGATACATTATTTGGTTAATTTTTTGATTATGAAATTGAGTTTAAGTAATTTTAACCAGATACTGATTTATGTTTAGAATAAATAAAAATGAAAGAGTTTAGAAATGCAGTATTTTCTCACTTTTTAGATACTAATGATGGAACAAATACATTTTTAGATATCATATATATTAGTATTTATGGAATATTAGATGAAAATCTAAGATATATATATCTGTATTATGGTGTAGTTGGAGTATTAGTTGGATTATCATATGCAATATACTATATTGTAATAATCATTAAAACCAATAATAAATTAATTAGAACAAGATTGGCTTTGATTACATTACCTATTTCAATTTTAACAGAGTAACATACAATATCAATGTTAAAAAGATTAAATTGAATATTTATAATTTATATTTTTAGCTGTTTAACTATGTTTCTACATCCAATTAGTTAATTTATTCAATTATATAAAAATTAAATTAACATTAAAAAAATGATTGCTAGTAATGAATTAGTTTTAGGAGATTAGTAAATTTAAATATGATATAGACCTAAATAAATTAAATGTCCTTTTTGCTCAAATTCAACAGTTTCAACAGTTACTTTTAAGAATGGCTATATAAGCTATATTACGTGTTTTTTAGTTTTACTAATTTTTGGAATTATGGCAAGTTTACTACTAATACCAGTAATTATGATAATTACAAGAACTTTAATTCATAAGTAATTAAAAATTTAATGATTTTAGATGTTCTGCATGTAATGAAGATATTGGTGGAGATGGAAAAGTATTTCATGTATTAGGTGTAAAGGATTCAGTATGAGTATTAATATATTTTTTAAGATGATGTCATTCAAAATTGGAGAATTTGGTGTTATTTTAACAAAAAGAATAGTTATTGGAATATTGTTATTAATCTTAACATTGGGAGTATTATGGTATAGAATAATTGATTTACCAACTTCATAATGGATGGATTATCATTAACATCACAATCCAAATATTACTATAACTGATACTTGGACTGATTATTTAGAGAAATGTGCAAAATAGAAAATATTTCAAAATCTATAATTTTAATAAATTTGTTATTAAAAATATATTGACAGGACAATAGTTGATTGGAAAGGTATAATATAATAAATAACTTCATTTTAGGATATGCAATAAGAGTAGAGGATAATCAATAATCTTTATTGAAATTCTTACATCATTCTGTTAATATTTTAGTTAAAATGGACCCTGCAGAGAGTGAATTTCATCCTGATTTGTTATTGACTGCAGATAGTGAAATAGCTTCTGAATTGTGTAATTTTATTATAGATTCTTTTAGCTTCAGAAATTGAGAAATTAGAAAGAGGCAGTGAGTTTATTTTCACGGCTATTATAAAATCCATAGGAGATTTCTAAAATATCAGACATTTTCATCTTTTAAATATAACAAAATTAGATAGTTACATTGAAATTCCACCTCATCTTCATTAATAAAGCAGATATGGAAATTCTTAACAATTTCTAGCTTCATCAACTGATTGAATATATGAGTAATTATATAAAAATAAAGTATATATACATATGTAATATCATTATTACATTATAGTTCATTTATTATTTTATAGCTTGAATATTGTTCAAATTTAAATTTATTTTTCATTTATCCTCAATCAATTATTTAATAATATTATTTACATTATTATTATTATTATGATCTTTACCTTCTACAAAGATGTCAATTTTAAAGATTCTATCTTAAAATCCATTTTAGACCATCTAAATAATGTTGATTATCAACAAAAATGAACCTTAATTTTGATGTAAACAATATTGTATTTTATTCAATATATACATTTCAATATTTTTAATAAAAAAACAAAATTTTATTGCTAAATTTAATTGACTTAAACTTATATTTAATCATTTCTACAATATTAATCATCTTATTATTGTTTAACTTAGTAATCAATCATTTAAAAAATAAACATATATATTTAACACTTTTATTTTTAATAACATTTATAATTATGTCATTTTATAATTGTAATAATACCATTAATACTCTAAATTTATTATCTAATATGCTTTAATTATATCCACATATGTGACATCTTATGAATTGTATAAAAGTCAAACATTTTTATTAAAAAATATCTATTTTTTATGTTTACCAAACTTTTCAGCACATTTCGACATTTTAATATTTTTCGAAATAATGCCAAACAGTTGATGTTAGTTGGATTGTTATCAACTATCTGTTATAGATAGAAACTAAACTTATAAGTAAACCCAAATATCAAACAATATGGTGATAAATTAAATCGAGCATTCAAAAGAGCATTACAACCTGAAGATGATTTTTAGTATAAATTTTCATATTTATTTTAGTAAAAATACTATCATCTTATCCGGTAACTCTAATAAAGAGTTAGCTGAAGGTATTATTCTATATAAATGATTATTAGAAATTGCTGAATATTTGAATATTAAATTAGGCAGTGTAACAATAGGAAGATTTGCAGATGGTGAATGTCAAATATAAGTATATATTATATGCATATTATAGGTTCTTGATAATATTAGAGGAAAAGATGTATTTATCATACAATCAACTTCTCCTCCTGTTAATGATAATTTAATGGAATTATTATTATTAGTCTCTGCTTTAAGAAGAGCATCAGCAAGAAAAATTATTGTTGTGGTACCTTATTATGGATATGCAAGACAAGTATCTTTTAATTTAATTGATTTCAGGATAGAAAATGTGCACCAAGAGTTCCTATATCAGCAGCAGATGTTGCTAGACTATTAGAAACAGTTGGAGTTGATAGACTAATATCTGTTGATTTACATTGTGGATAAATTCAAGGGTTCTTTGGACCTAGAGTACCTGTAGATAATCTTGAAGCAAATTTAGTTGCTCAAAATTATTTATCACTCTAGAAAAAGTATGAATTCAAAGATGTTGCTATTGTTTCACCAGATGCAGGTGGTGTTTATAGAGCAAAGAAATTTTAAGAATAATTTGATTTACATCACCCTGGAATGCAATCTCATTTAGCAATGATTATTAAGTAAAGAGAAGGACCAGGAAAAATAGCATCAATGAACTTAGTTGGTTAAGTTAAAGGAAGAGATTGTATTATAGTTGATGATATAATTGATACTGCAGTAAATTTAGATATCATTTTTTTAGGGTACACTTTCTGAAGCTGCAAGAGTCTTAAAAGAACAAGGAGCAAATAGAGTATTTGCATTTGCAACACATGCATTATTCTCAGGTAAAGCATTTACACATCTCTCCAATCCTTCTCTAGATTAGATTATAGTTACAAATACAATTCCTTCAAAACCTTAAGAAGAAGTTTTAGGAGATAAAATCTGTAGATTATCTGTTGGTAATTAATTTACATTATAGTTAGCTCCTTTATTGGCAGAAGCTATTTATAGGGTGTAAAAAAAGGAAAGCGTTTCAACTTTATTTGATATTAAACATTGATTTTATTATCGAATTTTAGATGTTCATTTTTATTTTAAATTCCAAAATAGTCTAAATAAGTATTTCATAATTAAAATCTAAATTGTATATCAAAAGTCTCTTTCAATAATATAAGCAATAAAATCAATTTAATTTAGTTTTCTTTATTCATAGTTTTGAGTAAAACTGAATTAATAATTGAGACTTTTGGATATTTAGATAATTGAATTTTTGGATAATTAATTGAATAAATTAATCAAACTAATTAACCCTGTATTTCATAAAAATTATTTTAAATTTACTTATAAATAAATTTATGTAGACATAGCCTTAAACAGTTGGAGTAATAACTTATTATTCTGATTAATATGAACCATAATGTCCATATTGTTAATCAGGAGAACATTCTATATAATCTGATAGTAGCTCGTTTTAATAAACTCATCTTGTCTCTGAATAAGCTACAAGGGGAAAAGGTATTGATTTAAGTTAAGTTAGTTGTGTATGTATCTCCTGAAAGAATAGTTTCAAGAAAAATTATTGAATCAAATACTTTATCTCCTTCCATATAATAATTAATGACTCCATCAATAATTTCAACAGCTACACCTTAAATTATAAATTCTTAATATCCACTTACTTAAGTGTCACCAGTTCTGAATTAAATTTAGAATATTTCTAAACAATAATCTCCAATTCTTATTCATCAATAATATGTGGTTCCACAATAATCTTTTATTTAGCAATAAATTCCTATTATCTAACAATCTACTTAAGACTATAAATTGAATATAGAACTTTAGTAATCTTAACTAATTTAATAAGATATACAATTAAAATAAAAAGAGTTAGCAGAAAAATTACAAAATTAAACTGAAGAAATTCAGTAATCTAATTTAGCATATAGACAATTATAGTAAGCTTTATAAGAGAAAAAGGAAGAGTATGAATAATTAAAAAAGGCTTATGCATATTAAACATAATATTCTCCTACTTCATAAGTACCTTAATCTTTATAAGAAATATATAATAAATCATAAATAAAAGAGAAAAAAGTGGTTTTAACAAAAGAGGAATTAGAATTATATTGGAAACATAGAGTATTTGAATTAGAATAATATTTATATGAATTATGGGGTAAGATTGCCAAAATGTAATCTTAAAACGAAGAAGCAAAAAAAGATGATAGTGTTAAAGTATATATAATATATTAATATTTCAGATAGAAATATTATAGAGAGAAGTATGTTAATTGGAACATATTGTAAGACTAAAATCTAATTCAGTTGTAATTTTAAAAAATAAATTGAATAATTTAATGTATCAATATGATCCAGCATCTGAAATTACAAAATAATATGATCAACAGTTATAATCTTTAAGACAATAAGTTATGAATTTAAATTCATTATATTTATAAGTACAAGAGGAAATTCAAGGTATAGAGCAATAAAATTAGAAAAGTAAATTAGAAATGAATGATTATGAGTCTATTCCAATTAATCAGGAATCATTTTAGAATTGAATTGATTTTTTATATGAAAGAGGTTTTTTAAATTATTAATAAACTTTAGATGAACATATTTTTAAGTTAAATATTTTTTGAATATAGTATATTTTATATATAAAATTTAAAAATTAATGCAAGGATTTAAAGTAGAAACATTAACACCAGGTGATGGAAAATCATTTCCTCAAAAAGGGTAATATTATTACAATAATTTAGCTAAAAAGTTAGAGTACATTATGTAGGAACCTTACTTAATGGATCTGAATTTGATTCATCAAGAAAAAGAGGAAAGCCTTTTGAATTTGTCCTTGGTGCTGGATAAGTTATTAAAGGTTGGGATTAAGGTGTAGCAAAGTTATCAAAAGGAGAGAAAGCTATACTGACTTGTCCACCAGATTATGCTTATGGTCAAAATGGATATCCACCAGTTATCCCACCTAATTCCACATTGAAATTTGAAGTCGAATTGCTTGATTTTGCATGATATTTTCATACATTATAAAAAGTGAAATTCAGAAACATAATCATTAAATTATATAGATATTTATAAAATAAGACAATCTTTACTTCAATTTAATACTATATTATTATATATATTTAAATTAAAATATAAAAAAAAACATGATCACGGCCAGTCTCGAACTGGCGGCCTCGTCCTTGTTAGGGACGCGTGATAACCCCTACACCACGCGATCAATGGATAACAAATTTGAATAATTATATATAAAAAACCTAATGTATTTCTAGTATATGATAATTACTTATGGATTTAATGGAAAAATAAATAAAATTAATAATAAATGTTTCGTTTGGAATTTGTGATGAATCATTATAATTGATTGTATTTCTGATAATATGGAATAATGTGAATTATAATATAAATTAATTTTTAAGGTTTATAATATGTTAATTATTATTTAACCAATTTAATCCTAATCTTCTGATATTATAAATTTTATTATCAATATGTGTTAAACATCTATGGAGGAAGAATATAGTATAATAAGCAAAATAGGATGTGGATTTTCAGCTGAGTATTGTTTTTAATTGAAAATTAGTGTGTAATTGGTTTCAAGATCTGGAGAATTGATGGCACTAAAAGTTTTTAAGGCAAAAAAAGATTAACTATATGAGAATGAAATTTGTATAATGAATAAGTTGAGTCACATTTCTGGAGTTATTAGAATAAGAGAAAGTCAACTTAGAGGGTGTATAATGATGGATTATGCTAAGTATGGAAACTTACTATAATACTTATAATAATCACGATTTGAAGAAAACATAGCAAGAAGTTTCTTTAAATAGATGATATTCAGTAATAGTTCATAAATATTATTAATAGTAATTGATAAGATTCATAAGATGGGTGTTGCTCATAGAGATTTAAAATTAGAAAATATATTATTAGATGATTAATATAAGTTAAAGATTTGTGATTTTGGATTTGCAATACAATATTTGGATGAATAAGGAAGAAGAATAAAAGTAAATGAGTAATTTATTATATTATGATGATAGTTATGTTGGAACACCTTAGACTGCAGCTCCAGAGATATATCTTAGACAGCCATATCATCCAGTAGAAGCAGATTTGTTTCAATTAGGAGTTATTTTATTTTAAATTTGTGCAGGATCTAGTCCATTTCATAATGCTAATATAAAGAGTGATCCAGATTATTAGTTTATCTATAGGTAATATTTGATTTGATTATGAAGATAATAAATTGGAAAGTTTTGGGAAAAACATTAGTATTAGTTTTCAGCTGAATTAAAGGATATTATAGTCAAACTTTTAGCCTTTAATCCAAATAGGAGATTATCAGTAATTTATATATTTATTATTATAATAAAGATTCCTGAAATTCAGTCTCATCCTTGGATGTAAGGTGAAGTAGCTGATTAATCTTAAATCATTGATTAAATGGAATACAGATAATCAAAGCTCTCACTATAAATCTGATTATTAATTACTATAACTTAGATTAATATTTATTCATTTCTAAAAATTAATATATTAAATTATCACTTCTATAAATAGATTTCTAATTGAAATGAAAAATAATTAATAATTTTATTAAAAAAATTAATCAATTTTAATCAATTTATTATCTTAAAGATTCCTATCTTTCAAAAACTGATTGTTTTCTTTAATTTTAAATTGAATCTTCCTTATTTAATTCTATATCCTTTAATTCTTCATCTGACACTCTATATTCAGTTGTAAAAATATCTAAAAATTCCATAAACTCACAATATTAATATTTTCGATTGTAAACTTCAGCTAATTTTTTTGTATTAACAGTATTTTTATATAAAGCTATAAAAGCAATTCCTCTTTTTAATTAATCCACACTTATAAATAATGTAGGATATTTAACATCTTTTATTCTCTTAGTTGTATCACTATCCATTAATGCTTTAAAAAGAGATAAATAATAATATATATCTTATCTTGATAAATTCTTCTCTAATATAATCTTTTCAATATTAATTAATTATATAATCTCTTTAAATTTTTCATTATCCTTATTTTGAAACGATTAAAAAGGATCTTCTATTGATAAATTCTATTTTTATTTTTTTTTGAAAATATGTGTGTTCTATGGCATAATCTCATCAAAAGCTTCTTCTTAAATTTCTTAAATAGTTTATTCATTTTCCTACATTAATTTCTACTCAAATATCTCTTCCTCTTTATAACCTAAATATTTTTTCTAATTTTTTAATTATAATGTTTACTGCTTAAAGTTTAATTTGAATTGAATATCTTTTCATTGCTTTTATCTTTTCTAATCTTTATCTCATCATTTCTTCTAAATTCTTAAGTTTATTGGAATATTTTGATTTATTTGATTATATGTATTGTTACAACAATTTTAAATATGTATCTTATTCTTGTTCATTCATTTAAATTATTGATTATTCAAACATTTATTCATCAGGTTCTCTTAAATCATTCTCAATTTCAATTAAATATTATGAAGGAATAGTAGTTTAACTTTCATGCTATTATTATCTAAAATAGAATGGTAATAAATTTTCCCTTTTTTTAAAGAATCTTGAAATATCTTCCTTACATTTTAAATCTAATAATTTTATAGCTAATTTTGGGTATTTGTCTAATTAAAATTCTCCTGAAAGATTCAGTTTTTATTTTAATTGAATCCATAAATCAAATTATCCCTAAAATTAATAATATCTTTACTTGAAGTTAAATATACAAAAATTTATCATATTAAGGTAATTGATTTAATTGAGTTATTTCAATACTATCTAAAGTAAACACTTTTGTATAATTCATTTGATTTCTAAAATGTAAAATATCCAAAAAATATGAAATCCATTATCTAAAATTATCTATTAATTCTTTATCATTTATGATTTTCTCATAAATTGGTATAAAAAAAGGGAATATATTTAATTCTAAGTTATTAGTTCTATAAATTAAAATTAAATTACATTTATTTAGCTTCAATTTAAGAACTCTTTAAATAAACACATTGATGTGGTAAGAAAATCAAAATAAATATCTATTTCAAACCTTTCTTTGTATTTACACCAATTTGAACTATCTTTTACTGTAAAATTTGTTGAATTTCATCAGTTTTCCAATAAGTTTTAAATCTTTCTAAATGATGAATTTTCTTTTATATTTCATAAGCTTTATTAATCCTGTTCACCTTATTATTCTTTTACCAAACTTATCCTTCAATTTCAGGACTTAAACTTCGAAATTTGAATGAACTCGTTCTTTCAGATATACTGAAATTATCTTTAATTAAAGTAGTAAGCTATGTTATAATTGGTTTTTGAGAAGGACCCTTTGTAAATTAAGTATGCATTTTAGAATTTGATTTATCTTTTTCTTTTTATCTGGTTTTTATTTCTTATTGCAATTTACATTCCCTATGAGTTGTTAAATTATCAGGATCCAACTATATTTATTAAGAATGTCTATATCTAATAATATCTAACTTTGTTCTTGAAAGAATATTAGGAAATACAGTTGCCTTTAAACAATAAGGGATTGTATTTTAAATAGATGTAGATCTGGAACTATTTATATGAAAGCTGATCTTAGGAGATTTAGTTTCTTATTCTTTGAAATGAATTCTATAAATTTAAATTATGTTCTACTTCTCTTCATTAGCTTCTAATTTGCTATCTCTATTGCTTATTTGATCTTTGATCAATACAATTGGAACATATTCTTTTAATGTTTACATATTTAAGTATATATTTTAAATAATTTGGTTTATATAATACAATCACTTCCAAATCATCTGTTATTTCTACTATTTCTAATGCATTATGCATATTAACAAAAAGTCAATCTCATCATTTTCTACAATATCATTTTTAATTGAAATAGTTTCATTTAATTTTATGTGATCTGAATGTCAATTAGATTCCATATCTCAAAGTTTAGTAATTAAATTAGTGACTAATATATGAAATTTTATGATTCTTTCCGAAAATATTTTTTTATGGAATCATTAAAACAACAAAATTTTTTAATGTAAAATATTAAAGTCTATTTTTCTAAATATAGGGTTCAACTAAAATAAATTTATTTTTATAATTTGATTGCACCTTTATGTAGCTACTAGAGGTTCTTGATATTAATTAAATTGTTTAACTAAATATTAAATTGGTTTGTTTATAATTGATAACTATTAATGTAAATTTTTAATTTGTTTAGTTATATTATAGATTGATAATATATAGTAGTAAATAATATTTATAATTTATTCTTACGAATAAGAAATTAATTACAGTATTGATTCAATTTATTAATAGAAATAGTTTGAAGATTTAAATTTGATTGCAATTTATTATCTTAATTTTGACTTAAAATTATCAATAATCATACATAAATCTTATTTTAATAAATTAACTTATATCGTATTTTAGAAATGCCTAAAGATTAATTATTCTTTCTATTCTAATCAATTAAGTTTAATTAATCTTCAAGCATTTTGATTAGTCTGATTGATATGACATGAGATTCAAGT